GTTATATGACTTTTAATTAAAGGCCATTATGTGGTATTTATCTATTTATTTATTTATTTATTTATTTATTTATTTATTTATTTATTGCCATTACGGAAGGACATTTGACATTCAAATGAAAATATTTTAAAAGTAAAAAAGTTAGAATCCCATTTTTTGTATGTTTTTTCCTCTTTATGTAAGTTATATTTAAGAAAAATTGGGCTAAAAAAATTATAGTTACGAAAAATTATAATAAATAGTTAACGTCTCGGAAGGCCGTGAAACAGACATGGAAGTTTTACTTTCAGTTTCAACAGAAAAATCTGCTCAGTCTGTTGAAATATTTTTAAAGTCGAATCAAAATCGAATCAAAATTTGAATATTTGATTATTTCACTTTGTCAATATAATTTTTTTTTTTTTTTTTTTTTGAAAAAAATTTAATTTGAAAATTTTGCATATAAAAAAATCAAGTAGGCGTTTCGGAAGGACGCGTCTCGGAAGGACGTTTTGTCCATTGCTAAATAAAATGTAAAACAAGGCTAATGATAATATTTTATGAATACAGACCAGCATAAGTTTGATGAATGATGCCAAAGGTAAACAAGTCTTTCCATGATAATATATTTCATCTTCAAACATGTTACTATTTTTGACTATGGTATTAGTTCTCATCTACTCTGATCATCTTTAAATAATATTGGGACATTTAAGAGAAAATCTTACCAAATTCATTAATTATAAATATAATCAATTGTCTTAATTATAATAACTTCTGAATCATTCATTCAAATGAAATGTTTCTCAGTTTAAAAATGCTTCTTTATATAATAATTGTGCATTTTAAGTTAAAGATTATCTTGAAAGACATAAGGGTTTAGGGCTCATCGGTCACATGACCTCTTATTGTCCAATCAAAATGCCTCACATGTCCTTCTACAGTTCTAGGTGTCATGTTTAATGCTCATGTTTTTGGATTTAATTTCTTATTGGAGTGGTTCTAAGCAAAAATGTTTTCGTATTTTGTTGACCCATATCATGATTGAGGAGAAGATGAAGTTATAAGTTTTTAGCTTTTGTAGTTATTTAAAAACTTAAAAAAGGTACCAAAATCATCTCGGAAGTACAAATTGATATTAATTAATTCATAATTTTATAATCAAATATTTTTTTAATTTAATGCACTTGACTAAATGTAAGAAATGTTATATTTAATGTATTTAGCCTTTATTGTTTAAAATTATCTCTATTATGAAAAATATATTTAAAAAATGACCTTCCGTAACACTGTTTTATAAGTTATCCAGATAAAAGTGTCAATAAAATCATAATTCATCATCAAAACCTAAATTTTCTTTTGGATTCTGGTGTCTTGTGGTGCCTAGTTTCAGAAATTAGTAGTTTTGTAAGTAGGATTCTTTTTTTAATTTTTTGGCCTGCGGACCAAATACCACGGAATGGCCCTCAACAATTTTTTTTTGTCCATATTTGATGGTGCTATACCGGTTTTATTAGCAAAATTTTGGGAAAGTCCGAATTTTTTATTTTCCTATATATATATATATATAGTAGTTAGAGAGCCTTTAAATGTAAAACCATTTCTGTGCTCAATAAATTATAATTGACATTATAAAGCAAATATTGCATCAAATGTGTGCGTCACCAGTACTGCCGTGACTCAGGGAGTCAATATTTCTCATGGAATGACCCCGTTCATATATATGAACAAATTATGTTTGCCATATGTTCTCTTTTCGTTTTTATATTTTATAGAGAACAATATCCCAGTTGAGCGAGAAGAACAGCCGGAAATATTCAAGGTCAACCAAGGTGATCCTTTGTTTACGCAATTCTGTCTTTTTATCATTGTTACTCACGCAACTTGTTATTGTTTGAACAAAATGCCGGTAGGAGGTTCAGTATGAGAGAGAGAGAGAGAGAGGGAGAGAGAGAGAGAGAGACTTTATGGTTGATAGTTAAGTTGTCTGACATGTTCTACACATCTTACTTTTATTAAAAATGAAAATATATTTGTAAAAATATATTTGTAAAAATGAACTACCAAAACAGACTTTCATGGTGTTTTCTTTCTAAGTTAAATGCACACTTTGACACGCCAATTTACATCATCATAAATTATATCAAAATCAACTGACTGGGTAGACTATCTCTAAAAAAGAGTTGCTCGCCTCTGGCGCAGGTGGTGGTGGTGTGGCCGCTTCCCACGCCGAGTCATACCAAAGACAACTTTAAAAATGGTACCTGTTGTCTCCTTGAAAAAAAAAATACTCAAAGGAGAATGAAGTACGGAGTAAATATCTGCTCTTGGTAGTGCTATGCTAATAACTGTGAATTATATCTTCCAAAGCTGCTATGTCGCTTGGGCTGTATGCTCCCTGTGACATGGGATCGTTTCAGAATTCAACAGATTCGTTAAACCATTTGTACATTACCAAGCTAACACATATCAATTTTTTTTTTTTATAAATGAAACGTGGTAAAATTCAACTCAGATGAATTGCAGTTAATGTATACCTCTTGCATAAGATTGGGGCCTTTGTTAGCAGTGAAGATAGATATATAGTATTACAATTAAATTATATTTAAAAAATACAAAAAATCTTACAATTAACTAATTCACTGCAAGGTGACCAAAATATTTTTACAGTGCTTGTTTCAACGCATTTTAGTTTGCTTGCCTAAAAAGAAAAATTTAGATTGCATAACAGCTGTAGCGAACAGAAAGCTTTCTTTTGTAACACCTACCATTATTCATTTCTAAAAGAAGCTGTCAGTGTGTCACGTTTACCTACTGGGAATAAAGTCAAGTCACGTGCGCGGGTAGTTTTCAGTAAGGTGGTACACGAAATGTTTGCACCAAATGTAACTAGGCAATTACGCGTGTTATTTGTGTTTTAACGTCTGTCAGAGTCACCAGAAAAATATATCACTTTAGATATCCAAAGACATTTTCCTAGCTATTCACTAGCTATGCACGAGGTGCCTTCTGATGGACTATATACTGTATATTCCGGTGTAACAGGAATGGAAGTCCTAGGAATAGAAGTTCGGGATTCCATATGATTAGTACAGATTAGGGTTAGTTGGAATATTGGAGTTACTATATGAGACGAAAGTCACCTGTACAAAGTAATGGGACGCGGACTACGGTTCCTAGCATTCCTGTTACACCGGTTTTACAGGGCAACCTCTGTGCAACCACAGTATAAATTTAGCTAGTATTTTTATAATCTCAGAAACAGCAGATAAAATGTACTTACAACGTCCTTCCTGTTGAAGAGATTGCGTGCGGTCAAAACCTATAAATGCAAATGGCCTATTGCCTATTGCTACATGTATCTAACCAAGATGAAAGTTTCCATTCTCATCCCTTGGATACGCCTTTACCATTCTGCAGTAATAATAATTGTTATAATAATAATAATAATAATTTTATTTAAGTCTCACGTTTAAAGATAAAACTCACTCTACTATGGGTTATGAGAGACTAAAACCTGTTATAGTACATTTAAGATTCATAAAAGTTATTTAAAATAAATTACCTATCAATAAAACACATAAATAAAACTAGAGAAGACCTTTTTAACCTTGCGATTCACATAGACCATTTTGTAGTAGCACCACAGAGGGTGCAAGTCAACCAGTGCGCGTTTTCAACATAAAAAATGTCCCCTTTAGCCAGTGGCTGTGACAAGTCAATGTTGTGTTGCACTGTCATGCTGTAACTGTGTTGTCACCGTGTTGTCACAGTGCTGTCACTGTGTCGCAATTGTTCCGAGGCGATTGGACCTAGGTGTTGATGTAGTCAGGCACGCTATTTGAGTTCTCAGTGGGTCGGTGCAGTAACTCAAAAGCGTTCGAAGTGTCACCAACTTGCCCTGTAAGGCTTACAGGTGTTATCCCCGAGTCTTTCGGTTATTGACCTTTTCTCTTGTTAGTTCTTTTCAGATTGGTTGTACTGTCTATGTTTTGTTGGTTTGTTTATTTTCAGGGCCAAAATACGCTTTAAATGAAGCTACCGTTGTCTGTTTGTTAAATTCTTTGATTTAAGTACTGTGAGATTTCGATATACATTTGTTTTGTTAAAAGGAACAAGGGAATTGTTATCTGTGAAGTGGCGTGTGATTATAGTTTTTTTTTTAAATAAGTTTTGTTAAATTTTCCTTGTTGACGCATAGAAGCTTTTTTTTTTTTTTTTTGTGGTAAGACGAATTATCATTGTTTTTTCTTTTTATTTATTTATTTATTTATTTATTTATTTATTGGCAAATTCCATCAGCTAAGTAATTTCAAAAGAATTGTAGAAGTCCTTTTGGAACAAGGGAAATATGCGTATATTGGCAGGTAACGTTTCAGCTTATTTCTACTGTACAAAAAAAACTTCTATAGTCATATTTTTATTTTAATAGACTCATAACTGTAAAAATATTTTTTCTATGCACTGATCAGTAGTACTGTGTTTTTGAACTGTACAGGTGAACCAATACACGGCCAGTGGACACGCTGGGATCCCTGGGGTGGTTGTTCAACAACGTGTGGCCAGGGTATACAAGTCAGACGACGCACCTGCTCCGACCCCGCTCCGCGCAATGGCGGCTTGAATTGTGCAGGACCGGACTTTGAAAGACGCAATTGTTCTGATTGGCCGTGCCCGGGTACGATAAGACCTTTTCTATTTTTCTTTTTTCTATTTTTTTTTTATTTTCTATCTATTTTATGTATTTGTTTTCATATTTTTAACTTTTATATGATTATATATTTATTATTTTATTTGCTTGGTCCTTGTTTGATAATAGAATGTTTGTTTTGATTTGCCGTCAAAGCGCATTTACGCAGACGGTTTCATATTTTTCTTTTTATATAATTTTTCATTCTTTTATCTTTATTTTTATTTGTTTTTTATATATCTATCTTTTGTATGATTATATTTAGTATTTTTATATTTGTTTTTATTATTATTATTATTATTATTTTGTTGGGTCCTTGTTCGATAATAGCATGTTTATTTTGATTTGCTGTAAAAGCGCATTTACTCAGACAGTTTTATATTTTTCTTTTTTATAAAAATTTTCATTTTTTTATATCTTTATCTTTTATATGATTATATTTAGTGTTTTTATATAATTTTTTTTTTATTTGCTGGGTCTTTGTTCAATAGTAGAATTTTTGTTTTTATTTGACGGAAAAGTGCATTTACGGAGACAGATTTTTTCAAAATTTTGAAAAGCTTACGGACATCTTTTTCACAATTTTCAACATCAACAGTACATTTTATATCAATTAAATTGATCGTTATTTTAATGTTGTCTTGTTTACCATATTCTTGTAGTTTTCTATACGATTTTGTTTCAGACTGCAATAAACCCTGTCCCGCCGGTGCCACATTGGTGAACTGTTCAATATGCGTTTGCAATGGTTCCGTATTGTACGGCCGCGTGACGACTACCAATGGCATACCTCTGAACGCTGCGGCAGTTTTTCACGAAGATAAGCAGTGGGAGGCCATCACCGTGACGAATCAGTGGGGAGAATTTTCGGTGCCGAATGTCTGTACAAGAGGAATAAGTTATGTCATCAGAGCACCATTCTTCTTTGAAAAACGTGACGTTGCCATAGAAGTCAATAGCACGCATGCGCGATTGAACGTGTCTCTTAGTCGTAAAGGTGAGACCAAGGTCTTTTAATACAGAAAGGTTGCTGTATCACACACAAAAAAAAAGAAAAAAAAACTCAAAACCAGTTAAACATTTAGGAGTAAAATTCCCTACTATTAGGTTCAAGATAAATAGGTAATATTTCAATTAAATAAACTAATTACAATGGTCTTAATAAGAAATGCAAGTTTGTCTCAATACTGACATAAGTTTTACTTAGAGAGACAGTTGACTCCTTGATGAAACTAGCTCAAAAAATTGGAACTACAGATTTTCTGTTTGAGAGGGTTTTTTTTTTCCCTAAAAGTAGACTAGAATTTGTATTGGCTCGAAAGTTTAGACCAATTTTCGACCAAATTGAGTTTAAAAAATGTCCCAGATCTACTGAAACTGAGATCTACAAAAGCTATTCTGTTTTATACAAGTTATTTTCTATTGTAATAAGTTAGTCTTAAGTTTTTCGGCATTATGTCAATTTTTTTCATAAATATTTTTGACAGATTTTTATTGAAGTATAATTCATAAATACATATTATAATCTGATTATTCTGCCCTGGTCGATATTTGGGGCTCATTCCCAATGGAAATACCGTTCAACGTGCATCGATCCAACTTACAGGGGACTCTCGCTGAATGCCATCAGTTTAACAGATTAATTCAATTCAATTCAATTTATTTCTGTACTGGTACATAGATTGCCATGACCTTGTACAATATGACGATACTAATGACGATACAATACAATTTGTGCATTACCATTTCTCTAGTTGGTAATTATGTTGCCTAGCCGTTTGTGAATGAAAAAATAAATTAATGCACCTCTTTTTTATCTTACATATGCAAGGATTTTTTTTTTTTTTGAAACTCCCATGTAATTATTATTTTTACTTTTTATATATGTCTAATACGCATAGCATACATTAAATCTTATATCGAAATAGCTTTAAAATAGCTTTAATATTTGACTAGTTTTCCTGTTACACGTTGTTAATTCCCTATTTTCGTGTATCTTACAGAGCCTCCCAAATTCACAGACCATCCCTATAGCACGGCAGCTTTGGTAGGCCAGTCGGTGACATTTTGTTGCAACGCAACAGGACATGATGAAAACCTGCATTACCTGTGGTGAGTCGTGAAACTTGTAATACAATGAATTATTTTCACGTTCACATTAGGAGGGTTCTCGACGAAAAAGAGGAAAATCGAGTTGCATCTCTAGATACACCATCTATTTGGTGATCTGACAACATGCTTTTGACCGATTTCCGATCTTAAATAGATCTAAATTGAAGGCAATTCGACCTTTGTCATGATATTCCTTCTTAGTTATTAAATTATTTCCTTTCTTAACCATGATTGTGTTCTGTTTCTGTAAATGTATAATACAAATATATAGAAAAAAATTTACCAAGGGAATATAGAAGTAAAAGATAAAAGATACTATGTTTGTTTAGCATCAGCCCGGTTTGGTAGATTTTGTCCATAGTTTGTGATCTGGGAATGGTAAATCTTTCATCATTTCTTCAGGTAAAGTTACAAAATCTATTTCATACAGAAATGTTAGATAGAGTATAATAATAATAATAATAATAATAATAATAATAATAATAATAATTTAATGGCTTATTCCATAAAAATCTCAATGGCCTAACAATAACGCAGTATTGGTATATGTTTACAGGTACAAAGATAATAGATTGCTGGAAGATGCACAACAAGGGGCTGGAAATGTTCTGACCCTCGGCAAGGTCACTCAACAGGATTCTGGATCGTACCAGTGCCAGGCAGTGTCACCGTCAGGGAAGACCATGTCAAAACCCGCTGAGTTAACCGTATATGGTGAGTTTATTATTATTATTATTATTATCATTATTATTATTATTATTATTATAACCAGAAAATAGGTTTACCATATTTGTGATAAAAGGGTTTTACAGGTTTAAATTTAATTCAATATGATAATTTATGATAACTGCTGTTGGTTAAATTGACTTCTGTTATTGCTGCTGTCAGATAAAATAATTGTGTTTTGACAGACGATTTAACGGGATGGAAACAGGCTTATTTTAAGGTCACTGTTATATCATATTGTATGTTTTAACATATGAATAAATCACACAGCAAAGAATTAATCTTTTGTTTGCTTTACTAATCTAGCTTATATTCGATATTATTATAAGTATTATTGTAACTTTGAAAGTTCATATTTTGTACAATGAGATAAAAAAAAAGATGACCATTTTACATCACAACTTTCAGTGAATGATTTTGACGCCTGCTCCAGATCACTGACGTCAAAGAAGGTGGATCTATTGCCTGGATGTCACGTGAACAACTCCGTCACGGGAGCACGTGACACGACGATAGACATTGGAGAATGTGCCGCCAACAGATGCGTCCTCTCTTCCGAAACTCCCTCGCCTGCATGCAACAGTAGTAAAAACTCCTCGTCTTCATGTTGTAAGCCAAACGAAAGGGAAACTATAAATGTGACGTGTAATGACGGAACACAATACGTCATGTACAAAATTACGTCATGCGGATGTGTGAATTGTTACGATGACGTCACAAAAGCATTTGTAAGTGGAATTATTTACGGGAAGAAAAACAACGAAATTATCCCTTTACAGTACGGGACCATTTATTACAAAGGGAAACAGTATGCCAAAACAACCAGCGACGGAAAATTTCACTTTAGAGTTCCCGAAAAGGTTGAGAGATTTGCAGTTGAAATTAAGGACGGCCCTTTCAGACGTCTGTCAACTACGGTTAAAGTTTTACAGTACCAATCCGGCTTAACGGCCTATCAGTCTATACAGGTACCCTTAAACCCTGATCCGGTAGTACTGACGCTCAACAAAACAAACAGTGTCAACATAATCGGTTCGGACTCGTCTCCGGTTGGGACCCTGCAAGTTGACGCTGGCTCCGTCGTGGACAAAAACGGAAAAATATTTTCTCGAGAAGCTCGACTTCTCTTGTCATTTCAAGACACCAGAGACCTCGAAGGAATCACAGAGTCCCCAGGAGAATTCGTAACGATGAGCGAAGAAGGGGAAACCGACCCCTTGAGAACTTTTGGGACATTTTCACTGCGGTTTGAGGACACAAGAAGAAACCAATTGTTCGTGACAAAACCTATTCAGCTTCAGTTTGACCCCGACAAGGTCAAGGCTATGTCGGAAAACAATGAACTCACGGATGTTAAATTATGGGGTCTCGATAAAAATACCGGAGCGTGGGTGGAGGTGGGACCCCTTTCCCAACGGGAAGATGTTACAGAGGAAGGGTTGAGACGCACAGGTAGAAGGCTACTTCAAACACAACCGCGATCCTTCATCGCTGGGACAATCCCTACCCCAGTGTTGTACGATTATTACAATTTAGACATCAGAGAAAACAACACCATTCAGTGCCACGTGAAAGTTGGCGCCTACGATGACGTCAGCAAGACGAGTCCCGTTTCTGGTTTGAATGCCTACATCCTGACCAAAAGCAGCACTACCGGAAACTGGATCGGTTACAGTCGCACATGTATTCAAAACGGAAAAGCATGCCTAAGAACTTTCTGCCCCAACGCCGAGGGTTTCATCTTCTCGGAGGCCAAAGGGCCAGCAGGGTCTCCCCAGCGACTCCTGGCGGACATCTCTGACTACAACCAGTACGTCATCGTGAACCATACGGATGTGTATTACGAATCTCCCCGAAATGTACCCAGTCGGGCATTTTATCGAGATCTTCCGTCATGCTACAGCCCGGAGAGTAAAGATCACTTGAAATTCTATGTCCCTGTCAGAAGGGAATGCAGTGTTTATAGGAAGAATGAAGCCCAGTGGAGAGTGCCGGAGAGAACGACTGCCCGGTACGCTGCCTGTTTCGTCCGAGTCAAAGTTATGGGACCGGTACGTTTTTTTTATGTATTATTATTATTATTATTATTATATATTTATATAAAATTTTATTTATTATTCAGATTGAAATAAAAACAGAGGGAAATGAGAAAAGTATCTAATATGAAAGTTTATATCCACTAAATGGGGAAATGTCAACTCTCTCAGCTCAGAACAGTTTATGAAAATGGTCGAAAAACGAAAGAGAAGAAATAATATTGAAGCTTTCTGTTTATCCACCTATGTTGAATTATCTTGAATTATTACTTGGTACATAACGCATTCAATCAGCCAGGTGGGGTGCGGGGATGCGACCGAATCGCACATTTTGCCGAAAAAAGATCAGCTCTACGTGAAAATTGTTCCAGGTACATGACGGTTTCGTGGTAAAAGGTCCACTTTTTCAAAAAAAAAAAAAAAAAAAAAAAAAAAAGTACCCCGTCCCTTTGAAATACCTGGCTGCTGGCCTGTTACACAAAATTGTTTGGATTATAAAATCTGGGCTCCGTATCTCGAAAGGTTCGCTATGTTGCGCACGTGTGCAAGTGTCTCGATTCCATAACCGATTCTTTCGAGATACGGAGCCCTGGCATGTAACCTCATACCCGTTGAAAAAATGATACATTTTTATACCCAGAGTGAAGCTATTCAAGTGACAAACGTCATAAAACTACCCAGCTAATTTATGATGTGATTATATTATGACAAAAATTTTCTATCATCTCCAATAATTGCTAATGCATGAGTGAAAACACACCACAAGAAACAAGAAAGGAAGATTTGTCATTTCTTATACATGCACAAAGCTGCAAAACATAACTGTTAAAAAATTACAGGATAAGTGCTACAGCTTGAGCAGAAAATGCTTTTGGTATAACAATAAAGTGTATTATTGATAGTTTTATAATTAATCAATTTGTTATAATTCGTAAATCAATGGATTAATTAATAATGTTTCAAGCGGTTTTTAAAATATTCATTCATTCTTTAATGTGCTTAGTGATTTATTATCATTCTTCATGAGGCTATTATATTAACCAGTATTAGTTTCTTTCATCTTTCAGATTGAATTTAAAGCAGCAGTTATAGCTAGTAGTGAATTAAACGAGAATGGGTTCAATACCGAAGACTTTGGCACCTCCACCTGCGACTCCGACCGAGCAGCAAGATCTCATTTCCACTGCCTAGAGTTCAGATGTGCTGGTGACGTCATAGTACCTGGTGACGTCACAGCGCACTATAAACCGAGGGCAAACATAACCGTGACGCTTAAAGTGTCAGCAAAGGAGGCAAACACGAATCGGACTCTCCGATGCATTCACAGGCAAGTGATTAACACAATGGTGCTTCTTTATTCTGTCTTAGTTTACGTTTATTAGATTATTACCTCCGCCAAGGAGGTTATGTTTCCACCTCGTTTGTTTGTCTGTCTGTCTGTCTGTCTGTCATCAGCATAACTCAAAAAGTACTGATTTTGATGAAATTTTCAGGAACTGTCAGAAGTGGGCCAAGAAACAGATTATTAGTTTTTGGTGGTGAACCGGATCAATAATCAATCAATAATCAAAAATAAAAAACTAAATCATTATAGAATGAAAATTTAGGGGCGAAACGGCATTGGGTGAAGACTTTGCTGCCTTGGCGGAGGTCTGCGCTCTAGGAGTGCTTTTCTAGTTTAAGTTATTTTTGAGAGAGAGAGAGAGAGAGAGAGAGAGAGAGGGAGAATGTGCATAATGCTGTCAAATACGCCGGATGGTATGATTGCAGAACACTTTTTCAATACAATTCTTAGGTTTCCTTTTAAGGCGCCCCTAAAGCCGCTATTGATTCTATACATGTAACATGGTCTTTAACTCTCAAATGTAAACATCGTACTTTTCTCCATAGGTCCACTCACTCTAGGCTTGGCAACTTGATTCCAATCAGCAGCATCCCAAATACTGCCTCCTTTTTGTCCACCATAGGAGACAATTTCGGGTTTTCCCAGGGCATACCAAGGGCTGTGAACACGGATTACGAGATCTCGCGAGAGGATGCAAAGGACAGGTGCGAAAACGAGGCTGAGGATGCTCTTGAGTTTTACTGTCTTGGAGGTGAGTTTTACATAGCTTACAGAATACTCTTTATTTTGGCAGCTTTATGACTAGCACGACTGCCTGAGTGGTAATTTTCTGTTTTGTAGAATTATTGATAACATAAATTTGCTGTATTTAACACACGAATTCACTACGTCACTTACATTGAACGTCTGAAAAAAATATGTACACGCTTATACTAAATACATGTATATATGGACCCCTTGAGTCTCTTTTGAATAACTGACAGAAAAGTCATGACAAGGCAAGTCGTAAGGCGTCAGTCTAATTAATATCGATTCACAAACTGTCAGTGATTACAACTGAGGGTCACTGGGTTAAGATACAAGTATCTTCCACATTCAGAGTTTTTTAATTAATTTATTTTATTTTATTTATTTATTTATTTATTATTATTATTTTTTTTTTTTTGACATTCAGATTTTTGACAGTACCGTGATAGTTCATCATAAACTGTGTACATGTACTTGACTGTATCGTCTTACAATGTTGTCCGCAGCGTATAGTCTTTCCATTTAATCTGTAAAGGCGTTGTTTTCATGTACCTTAAAAACAGTGCATCAGTACTAGTACAGGTACATGTGCACTGTATGTTACATTTGATCAAATAATTGTTTTACTTAACTTGAATAAATTCTGTCAGCTCAATGAAGTTAACCGTTGCCAACTGTGTTTTGTACATTATAAAATTATTCAATCAAAAGTATTCAAAAGCTTACTTATATTGTCAATAATTTCCCTAGCTTCGGAAGAACACTGCATCATGACGAACCGGGTCTCGGGGCAAGCGTACACGAAAGCTCTGACGTCACGGTACAGTCCCGCCACCTCCATAGCCCAGTGTAATGCCATTTGTCTCTCAATACCGGAGTGCGTGGCTGCAACGTACACGTTCGGCTTCTCTGTTTGCGCCATCTACGAGGACGTGCAGGGGGTTGCGCTAGAACCGTTCTTCGGTGTGTCTACTTCTCAAAAACTATGCTCCAAATCTTCAGGTGGGTCATATTTTTGTAAATTGATAGATACCTGTGTGAATTATAATATGGTATGAAGTTCTGGTAAGTTTTACTTGCAATATCTACTGCTTGATAATCAAAACTTAAGTTTAATTAAATTTTAGATACATGTTTGATACGTGTATGGAAGATGCGTTTTTATGGTTAGACATATTTAACTCTCTTTATATAAGGTTTATTATTTTTAAATATTGATAATCTTTGGTTGTATTTCAGAATCTACGTGCACAATCTCTGAACGACTCCCCGGCCAGACGTACAATGGAGAGGCCGGCACCGAGCAGACTGTGACGTCATCTCGTGAGTGCGAGGCTGTATGCACCTACGCACAGGACTGCAAGGCAGCAACGTATCTCTCCGCCACGAGATTGTGCACTACTTTCACTGATCTCAGCAGACGACAGTTAGTGAACATTGATGGGGGTATAACTTTTGTGAAATCGTGCACATAGAGATCTTTGTAGCTATGGAGGATGGTTTGCGTGTCAAACTCGGCTGCGAAACGTGATCAAAATTATTGAAGACAGGAGGTCAAGGCGAAGTGAATTAATTTCTCATAATCTCTGTGCCTGGATTATAGGCAATGATATTTTATTTCGTTTAATGGAGTTAATTTTATCCGTTCAAAATGTTATTTTTCACAACACAAGTTTTCCACTGGTGCTTTTAATTCGGCCATTAACAAAAATTATGGTAACATTTGCATAAAAGCAACAATGTATAGATTATTTTAGTTAGTAAGTTAGTTAGTAAGTGGTAGTTAGTTTGAAATGTATTATTTATCAACTGAGAAAAGTTGTTTTGTTCGTACAAAGATTTGTTTATTTGCTGTCATTATCTACTTTTATTTGATTTCGGTTTTATCAACTGATTAATTCTTTGATTATCATTTTTACTATTGGGGAATGCGTTATATTGTGTTTTGTGTAAATTAATTTAAAATGTTAATTACTTTATGTTATAAAAATCCAAAGGTTCGTAGGAGATAGTTGCTACATCTAGCTAGGCACTGTATTTACCAGGTCCCCGTTTCACACAAAAAAAGAAAAACAACTTAAGTCAGGTTTCCAGGGTAAGAACTTAATTACTTAGGTTACATGGTCACATGGACACATCGTACCCAATCAGGAGCAGTGTAACAGCATCCCCATAGAAATCCTCGTCAACTAGGCCAGGGAACTGACTTAAGTTTTTTTTTTTTTTTTTTTTTTTGTGAAACTGTGGCGGGGTGCTTGCTTGGCACAACACGCTTTGAGAGGCATTATACATAATTGACAATGTCATACGATGCTTGTATGATAAAACGAAACAAATTGAGGAAACAATTTGACTTTTAAGACAAATATTCCTCTTGCGTTATGATATTTATTAATATGATATTCAAAGTTAAAAGAAATTAATTTAATATAAAAGATTGGTTCGGTTTTAATGTGCGGGGGCATGAGAATGGCGGTGTGTACAGGCAATGTTAATGTCAGGGTGACATTGTGTAAATGTCACAGCTATTTACACAGCAAAGAATTAATATCTCTAGAAATCCCAAAACCTTTCTCTTTTATTTTCCAAGCTATACGGTACCAAAAACTGGTTGAGAATTACGATTCTTTTTTTTTCTTACAGTCAAGATGGAGAATTGTCAAGCAAAAAATGCGGATGAGATTATAAATTTCGAACTGGAAAACAGTTTCATAGATGGAATAGATGGATTTTTTTTTGCAAGGGTTTAAGCAAGAACACACCTTGCAAGCGTCTTGTACTTGAAAGATTAAGCCATGGATTATTGCAGACTTCGACATAAAAATTCATTTTATGTTTTATAAATCCTAAAGCGTACAATGAACATGATTTCTTGAAATAAAAAATGTGAATGATTAACAAAGCAATATTTCTCGTACATAAAGGTGAACCAATAAATGTTTTATCTAAGACATGGAAATTATGTACTTGGATGTAATTTATCTGCCGTTTTCTTTTATCAAAGTTAAAATTGGGAAATTGAACAAATAATCGTTAAACAACCAGTCTCAAGTCTATTTCGAGCTACGAGGAAGACCACGGGTGTTTGACAACAGGCGTTGCATCTGTGGGCGTAAAATCCCCTTTACACTGGACGGCGTCCTTTCTGTGTGCGACCATGAAACTGGCATTGATGCATGTGGTCGTAGAAAGGAGACACGAGCATCGCTTCAGTTGCAGAATTAATGCTCGAAGTTTGGCCAGTTGTCGGCACGTAAAGTACCTTTTGTAACTCTTAAACGGGGCCGTACTTCGGGACGCAGAAAGGATGCCGTCCAGTGTAAAGGGGGCTTAACCAAACTGAGTGGACGCGTTATAAGTAAATACAGTGTTTTAGCTGAGATTTTACTGGCGAGCCTAGGAATTTATGAGGGCTTTGGGCGGGAGGTGGGGGCAAAGTCGTTCAGCATTAATGGAGGAACGGAGAAGGGAGAGAAGGGGCACTCTGCAGCTGGGGCGGATCCAGAAATATTTTCTGACTGTCTTCCAAATCATCTTTGTTGATCCATCCTCCATTTCTGACCGTCTTCCGACAGCGTAAAATTAGATGCCCGTACGTGTAAATTTGAAAATCTGACCGTTTTCCGGAAGACCCAGAAGACGCCCTAAATCCCTTAATCTAAATAATTTCTGAAATCGAGAAAGGCCACTAGGCTTCAAATATGCGTGGCAAACATCCACCTTCAAGGCAAACTGCGACAGGAATTGTCGTTAATGAGAGTCCTTTGTAATGATATACGGTGGACAAGCGAAATATCTGAGCCACCCGCACTAGACATTGCCAATTAATAATACATGAACATATCTAAAATCTCGGATGGGTGGAATTTCAGAAATACAGTTTTTTTTCTGACATGAACTAGGACATCAACATGCAACTTATATGGTAATCCAGAGGATAAATTTTTCGTAATAACAGTATTTTGTTTTAGCATATGAATGAATGACTTGCTCACGCACCATTTTTTTTTTGTCAGAAACAGAAAGCGGTTTTGATGTACCTAGATTGTCGTAGACACTGCTTAATTTCATACAACCTAAAGAATACTTATTTTACAAACAACTAAGGTCGTTAAAACTACTCGCTTGTAGACTCAAGAAGAGCCCTTTTTATCATTTATTTATTTATTTATTTTGATACATGTACAGTTGCTTTTTTTTAATAACTAAAACCGTACTGTAAGATGCTTAAACAAAGTTCGCGTAAACTTTAAGACAGCTTTCGTGTATTTTAATTCATCATAAATCTGCAGTTGTGTACTAAACTGAAATAGAATAACTATTGGTCTGTAAATTTTGCTATTTCTTGTTATAAAAGAGGGACATTGCTTCATTTGATTAAGCTACTACTGATTCATTTTGGTCAAAATAAGACTTAAATTTGGTATAAAAAGACTAAAATTCGGTCCAAAGAAGACTAAAATTTGGTATAAAAAGACTAAAATTCGGTCCAAAGAAGACTAAAATTTGGTCTAAAAGTTTGTGCCAAATTTCGAAGAACGTTCTCATGTAAAACGGGTCACAGAAGTCTACACATATATTTACAGCATTGCATGTACTTGGAAAATCAAAAGTTGTAAAGTTCTCAGTACACAGATTAATGTCTTAGATTAATGTCTTTGATGTTTCTTTGAAGGGTGTCTTCTAACAATGTGACCAAAGGAATATGAAAAAAAAGTTCAGTTCTTGAATATCCTTGACACTGCATTTCCCATGCAGTCCACAGTGCGGTTTACGTTAGACGCCAGGGCTCCGTAACTGAAAAGCATCGCGAATTGCGATAGCGATATCACCTTTCATTTCGAGGCTATTACACGGGACGAGTAAATCCAGAGTTATGGAATAGAGGCTCTTGCGCTCGGTCGCAATTCACGATGCTTTCGAGTTACGGAGCCCTGGTCATTTTTGACCAGGACGCACCCTGGGTGTTAGCGTGCTCAGCTGCTTATGGAGGACACTGCCCATCTGCCGCATGAGGCGCTGTATGCTAGCAAAAGAACAGTACAAGGAAGGCCAATCACAACAGGTCACTTGATAGCTGTAACTTCGCCATCAAATACATGTATAATTATTTTTGGAAGACCCACAATTATATGCCGGGAAACGCAAACCATACTGATCCCAAGATTTTAAAAAAGATTTTTGGCAATTATCACAATAATATATTTCTGTTTACTCGCTTTTGTTGAATAGCTATTAAATTATTATTATTTTCACAATAATCATTATCATTATTGTTGTAATTACCACGGCGCATTTTGATATGAATATTGCTTTTTTGTGAAGATCGGAAAAAGGAGTCGTTATGATAATACTTAATATTTTTTTCTTCTTCAGTCAGAACTTTTTATCAACTACTATTGTACCTGTTCATGAATTTATCAATGATCAAATGGTTTTAATAAATCTGTAGAGTGAAACATGATCAGTAAGCATTCATATTAGTTTAATCCGGAGGTATAGAATACGTTTAGAAGAAAGTTGTGCCCGTCGGTTCATAAAATATTTATCTTGAGTTTACGAAATTGAAACACGCGTGCGCTTTACCGTGGGCCTACAAGACTTCACGACATTACTCTTAATAATAATATTATTTGTAGAATTCATGCTAATTGTACTCAAGCAAACTGTACCCACAAATCACTTGTCTTTAAAATTGCACGAGTTTAAGGAAGTCTGGGGACAGTGAAAACTTAATCTGAGTGGTCATCTCTGTTGTCACGCTGGTTGGTTCAGGTAAGTGACGGGATAATGACAATCAACATGGTTACTTTATCAAATAACCAAACAGTGTCGAGGGGAATCGGTACTATACCCTACAGAGATTACCTTCTTGGATTATCTTTTTTTCTTCTTTTCCAACACGAGTTCAGGGTCCTCTCACCTCCACACGCGATTAGAAAATTATTTTAAATAGGCATCGTGGTTCATTGATTGCGAAGTAATCTGTAGTATATATGAGTTGTGGGATTTATCGTTGAGTTGTGGGAAAAGTTTGAGACCGGGAAGGAACAGCGGTAAAGCTCATAATCGCCTGTGGTATTAAAAGAGGTCTGTAGTTGTACCCGCACAGGTTGTAAAATTATTCATGTGGTCGGATCCACAGAGAATGCACCTGCTTCACAGTCTTTTTATGCAATGAACGTCGTATTCTTACTTATTTTACGTATTAAATACAGTGAGACCTGACGAGCCGAAATTATACAATATTTCTGCCCCCATCGCCCAAACCTCAGCCCCGCTCCCCCTCCCCCCCCCCCCCACACACTTCACCATTTTCCTCACTACAACCCCCTCCCCCAGGACAAATTTACCCCCAACCCCTTACCAACCGCAGGGATTGTTGTAAATCTCGTGAATAATAAAAAAAAGTTATTATTTTTATTTTTATAAAGACAGTATATTCAGACCCGGAAATACCAAGAGCGCGATTTTGGGAAAAAAAAAAAGAAAAGGATAGAAAAAGTGTGTGTGTGTGTGTGTGTGTGTGTGTGAAACCATGGAACATTCTTCCGTCAACATTTTACGTTACAATTGGC